AAGGGGGTGTATTCAAGAGATGTCCCTGAGGCGAAATGAACAGGTATTGGCAACAGATTGGACACGGAAGCTGAGGGAGAGTGAGGAATCCAGGGTGACTCATAGGTTATGAGCCTGAGGGACCAGACAGATGGTGTCGCCCTCTAGTTATAAGAAAGGTAGGAGTGGGGGAGGTTTGGGGGAAAGATAATGAATTATTTTGGGCATGTTTAATTTAAGATGTCCACTGGACATCCAGTTTGAGATGTCTGAAAGACAGTTGGAGTTGAGAGTTTGGGGCAGGATAGGTAGATCTGAAAATAATTAGCACAGACATGGTTATTAAATCCATGGGAGCTGATGAGATCACCAAGTGAAGTAGTATAGAGGGAGAAGAGAATAGGGCCCAGGATAGAGCCTTGGATACCTATGGTAAGAAAGCATGATCTGGAAGGGGATCTAGCAAAGGAGACTGAGAAGGAGAGGTCAGATAGGTAGTAGGAGAACCAGGAGCCTGGTGTTCTGAAAACCTAGAGAGAAGAGAATATTGAGGAGGAGAGGGTGATCAAGTGTCAGAGGCTACAGAGATGTTAGGGAGAATGAGGACTGAGGAAAAGACCATTGGATTTGGCAACTAAGATCATTGGTAACTTGGGAGAAAGCAGTTTCAGTAGAAAGGTCAGATGCAAGATTATAAGGGTTTAAGAAGCGACTGAGGGGAGAGAAAGTAGAGACATCTATTATAGCCTTTTCAAGGAATTGAGCTACAAAAGACAGAAGAGATATAGCACAGTTGCGGGGGTAGGAGGGTCCAGTTTTTTCAGGATGAAGCAGACATGGGCATATTTGTGAACAGGGAAGGAGCCAGTAGAAAGGGAGAGATTGAAAATAAATGATGGAGTAAGTATGACTGGAGGCAATCTGTTGGGATAGATAGAATGAAATGGGATCACTTGAACAGGTAGAGGGGTTAGCCTTGGTAAGGAGTAAGGCTGCCTCATGATGTGAAATGAGTGAGGGAGAAGAGAGGGGAAGAAGGCACCAAAGTGATAGATGAGGAAGGTGCGCATGGCAAATGGCCTCAATTTTTTCTGTAAAATATAAGGCAAGGCTTTCATCTGAGAGTAGGGGAGGGGAAGCCATGGGAGGTTTGAGATGGGATGAGAAGGTTTGGAAGAGTCCCTGTGGAGAGTAGGTTAGTTGGTAAGGGAAGGTGTAGAAGGCTTGCCCAGCAGCAGTGAGGGCCCAGTTGAGGTTATATGACAAATTTGTAGTGGACCCAGTCGGAACAGTTGAGTGATTTTCTCTACCTTCATTCAGCAGCACAAATGTAGGAGCAGCGAATGGTGTGAGTGATCCAAGGCTGAGGCTTAGCTGGGTATAACGGGTGTAACTTTGTCTCCAGAATATACACTTGGACAGAAAGGAGAACTAGGTTGGAAAATAGACCACACATTTGACATTTGGGCATGTTAGAGAAGTGATGAGGGATTTCAGTTGTTCAGACATCTGCCAGAATGTTCTCTGTGTAACTGACAACTTCATTTGTCTTAAAGGTAATTTCATCCTTTAAAAGTATAGGAACCAAGAAGGGAGAATTCTGGGTTGGATTCAGTTCTTACTAACTTGGAGGAACCAGTTGCTGGGGTAGAAATGGGAAAATGGTGGTGGGGGGTGGGGAGAGTGACCACTTGTGATAAGGAAATTAAAGAAAAGCTAGGCACACTCTGATATACACCCTTGATTTAGGGAAAGTAAGATTTCAAGGGTTACAGAGGAGTTCTTAACCTAGGGTCTGTGAATTAAAAATTTTTTTTTTGGTAACTATATTTCATTATAATACATTTCCTTTGTAATCCTATGTATTCTATTTTGTGCATTTAAAAATATTATTCTTGGAAGGAGTCCATAGGTTTAACCAGACTGCCAATAAGTCTGTGATACAAAAAAAGATTAAGAACCCCAACTTCGCAGGAAAGATAGGTATCCCTTGGACTAATATTCTACAGGAGTCAGGCCAGGAAGGATGGGAGGTGCTTGGTAATGAAATTCTGACAACACAGAGGAGGAAAAAGCAGAGTTTTCTGAAGAAACCAATGTGATTGTATAGGAAATTACCCAGCCAACTTAGATTTTTTTTTTTTGTGGCAAGGCAATTTGGGTTAAGTGACTTGCCCAAGATTACACAGCTAGTAAGTGTCTGAGGCTGGGTTTGAACTCAGGTCCTCCTGACTCCAGGGCTAGTGATGTATCCACTGCGCCACCTAGCTGCCCCCCAACTTAGATTTTTAAAAGATACACATATGCATCCATGTCTCTCTCCCCCCTCCATATATATGTGTGTTTGTATCAATACACACACACACACACACACACACACACACACACACACACACACGTGCATGTGTGTATAAAATGGAAAGCAAAGACAAGTGATAGGAATGGATATAAGAAACCCTATAAAAATGGCCCTATAAAAAATAGTATCAGGAATGCTAAATCTCAGACAGCTAAAGCTCAATGAGAGTATGAACTTCTTAAGAACGTGGATTATCTTGCTTTTCCTGTTTGTATGCCTAGTATTTGGCATGTTGATAGGTACATAGTATGTGTTTAGCAAGTGCTTTTTCATTAATTTATTCATTGTGATGAAGTTGGCAAGAGAAGCTAAGGACAGTGAAAAAGGGTGAGTTTTTGAGATTTTTTTAAAGCTCTGTTGGGGGAAAGAATCAGAGAGAGGGGGAGAGAAGGGCTGATGCTTGGGGTGGATGGGATGACGATACCTGAGCAAAAATAGAAGATAATGCTGCCCAGTCTTTACTTATGCATTTTCCACCAAAAAAAAAATGACAACACAAATAACCTATAGGCAGTTAATGCCTAAGATAAGTAAGAGAGTACTTTGTTACCCAGGTGACCTTGATTAATTCAAGTCATCCAAATGAAGCATCCTTAGGTACTCAAAAAATGGGTGGGTGTGATTATTGAGCCTCTGTCAGTGATATTTGAAAGACTGGAGTTGCTATTGGACTTTAGAAGTAAAGGATAGAAAAGGCTGTGATTGGCAGAAGTTTGTCTGAAAAATATCTGGGGGTGTTAACGAACTGAAAGCTTGATATAAATTTGCAGGGGGTGGGGGGTGGGGAAGCCAGTGAGATCTTGGTGTGCATTGAAAGGCAGACTTTCCAGAAATAAACTGCTATCCAGAGATTATCCCAGTGCTTCTTCTGTTCTGCTGTGTCAGACTACATCTGGAATACTGTGTTCAGTTCTGGGCGCCATAGTTTAAGAAGGGCATTGAGTGAAAATGTTTAATATGAATGCATAAGTAGAGCCTATATTAGATTGCATGCCGTCTTAGGGAGGGGGGAAGGAGAGGGAGGGGGAGAAAATTTAAAACTCAAAATCTTGTGGAAGTGAATGTTGAAAACTAAAAATAAATAAATTATTTTTTTAATTAAATTAAAATTTTTTAAAAAGGATGTTGACAAGGATCTAAGACATCTCCAAAGGTCTCATGATGGAAAATGCTATCCACATCCAAAGAAAGAATTATGGAGTTTGAATGCAGATCAAAGCATACTATTTGCTATTTTCCTTCTGTTTTGTTTCATTTCCTCTTTCTTGTGGTTCCTGCTATTGGTGCTAACTCTTCCTTACGATATGACTAATGTGAAAATATGTTTAATAGGAATGTATATGTATAGCCGATATCAGATTGCGTGCCATCTTGGGATTGGAGGGGGAGAAAAATTTAAAACTCAAAAGCTTATGGAAGTGATTGTTGATAAATCAAAATAAATTAATTAAAAAAAAAAAAGAGGGCATTGAGAAGCTGGAAGAGTATCTGGAGGAAGACAACTAGGATGGTGAAGGGCCCTAAGTCCATATCATGTGAAGATGGGTTGAAGAAGTGGCATCACCAAGATTTAAATGCAGGTCCTCTGACTCAAGCTCGAGTGCTCTTCCCACTACATGGGTTCTCTCAGCCACAGAGGACAGAACCTGGAGCAACAGGTTGAATTTACAGAGGCAAATTTAGATTTGATACCAGCAAAGACTTCCCAATAATTAGGTCTTTGCAGAGGTCAAATGGTCTGCTTGGGAGGAGGTGGTGGATTCCCCCTTCTTGGAAGGAAATCTTCCAGTAGAGTTTAGATGACCACTTGGCAGTAGATTGTAGCAGGAATTCTTAGAGGATATAAGTGGCTTCTAAGATCTTTTCCAGTATAAAACTCTGGGATCACTGCTTCTTCCCACTTCAAAATGTCCTACACAAAGCTGCCAAGATAACCTTCTTGAAGCAGAGGTCTGAGCATGTCATTCCTGTTCAAGAGTCTTAATTGGCTTCCATTGTCTCTAGTATAAAATATAAGCCCTTTGGGTTTGATATATAATCAATAATCAAGGGCCAGTAAACATTTATTAAGTGCTTACCTTGTGCTAAGTCCTGTGCTAAGTGCTGAGAATGCAAATAAGAAAAAGACAGCTCTTGCCCTCAAGGAGCTTACAATCTAAAAGGGAAGACAATACACAAAAGGAGGCTAGAAAGAGGGTGCTGCCGGAGGATACCCAGGGGGAGAGGGGAACATGGGAACATAATGTGTGTAAAGTCGAAACCAAACAGAGCAACTGATGGGAAAATATAATGATGTAAGCCTTTTTAGTAAGTCGTAGCCTTCTTTCTAGATTTATATTTCCTTAATTACATAAGTATGGTAGAATATAAACTCCTTAAGGGCAGAGGTTGTGTTTCTTTTGTCTTGGTATTCCCAGTGCCTTGGCACATAGTAGGCACGATAAATGCTTGTACTGGAATTCCAGCTCCAGAATGTTATGAGTCTAAGCCATAGGGATAGCTGTCAAAGATGATAGTGAAAAAGAATATTAAATAGAATCTCCTCTCAGAGCAAAAAGAAACAGAATTTAACAGCCCTGGAAATCCTGCCTTCTCTCTTGTAACTGGACAGAGAGAGCATTTTTCCTCTCTGCATCAATCCTCTGGTCCTTTCTGTCTTCAGGGCTGCTCAGCTAGAGAAGGAAGTCGCTGCCCTTCGGGAGAAGATCCATCACCTGGATGACATGCTGAAGAGCCAGCAGCGGAAAGTCAGGCAAATGATAGAGCAGGTAAGAGTAGACATCACCACCCTCTGACTTTTTCCCTTCTAAAAATGCCCCAGCCCTCACTAACCTATGGAATTGTTTTTGCCTGTCAAGTCTGGGCAGGGAAAATCCCTTTGACCCGCTAGGAGATCTTGCCTGATATCCAGAGATTTCTGGTCAAGTGCTTATAGCCTACTCTTGGATTATCCAGCATCCTTTACTCTCCTGGTTTGTTTTTTTCCCCCCTTTACCTTCCTTAGATGGTGGGGAAGGGAAAGAAAATGAGCCAAAACTGTCTCCTCCGTTTCTCCGTGAGTCATTCTGAGAATACTGTTGTCTTTGGAAATAAAGAAGTAAACTCTCTGCTTTGTCTTTGTGAATGACCTAGAGCAAATTTTAAATCCTAAACTGGATTCCACTCAGACACATGCTCACTCACACTGGCATATTTCAGGGTTGTCTTCCCCTGTTTGTGGTTTAGTTTGTACTCAGAGAATGCAGACTCTTTTTCCTATGAGCCTAAGCAAAATATAATTAGGAAGCTGCATCTACTGCACGATTGAATGTGTATGTTCCAAGGCCAAGTAGAATACATTGCTTTGAATCATTTGTCCTCCTGCTCCATTATATTGATCTAAATCGTTATATTGATTTAAGTGTCTTTTGTATCAAAAAGCAATCTGAAAGCATGCTCTTAAAGAGCTGAAAATTCATCTTTCCATACATTCTCTAGCAGCCAGAGGTGAAAGTCATTTGACCTGTGTTCATTTTTTCAAATCGCCCATTGTTTGCCCTCACAGCTTCAGAATTCTAAAACCGTGATTCAGTCAAAGGACACAACCATCCAAGAGCTCAAAGAGAAGGTTGCCTACTTGGAGGCTGAGGTATGACTCATGGGAATCACTTTGGAGGGGAATCTGGGCTCTTTGGGCCTGAGAAGATTAGGAGGTTTGTGGCAAGAAGGCTTCAGGAAGTGAGGCTTTGGGACAATGAGTTAATCAGCAGGTTTTCATTGTTGGGATGGTAACCGTGGTCTGCAAAGTGCAGTTGTGTTTACTGAATAATTTCTAACTTTGCTGCAGGGCCTTTACAGTCTTTTGGGTAACTAATAATTATTGAGCAGCTGTGTCTGCAGAAGACTTGAGTGAGTGGTACATAGAGGCAAAATAGAGAAGGAAGAGGGGGCCTTCTGCCCTCTGGCTGCTTACGGCCTAGTTTGGGAGACTTGGACACGTGTAACCGTGTACACATAATATGTACCCAGACTTAAAAGACTACCTAGACAAGTTTATCCAACAGGGACCGGAGTGTAGAAGTGATAAAGGGATGTCACAGTAAAGGGATGATCATTGTTGGATGGGCAGATAACCTGGAAAAGAAGGGGTTCCACTAAGGAATGGTGGATAGGGAGGGAGAAGGCCTTTCACTTGAGGAAGGAGTAACAACACCTCCAAAGGGAAGGTGGGGAGATGGCAAGAGAAGATTAATCGGTAGGTGGGGGCACATAACAAGAGAAAGGATGTGCTCTCACTTTGGAACGTACATTCTAGAATTTAGAGATGCATGACCGAATGGAGCACCTGATAGAAAAGCAGATCAGTCCGGGCAATTTCAGTACCCAAACCCGAACCAAGAGTGACAACCTGGGAATGTGAGTATATATACCTATGTATGTGGGGTCTGTGTCAGAAAAAAGGAAAGGAGGAAGAGAGAACAATCTTGGCTGTAAGAGGACTCCTCTTTACTGAGCTCCATAGATAACCTTGGTATTGAAGGGACGACTTATAGAACAGGTCTTCCTTTAGACCATACGGGGTTCTTAACCTGGGTCCTGTGAACTTTTTTTAAAAAATATTTTAATAAATCTACTTAATCAATTGGTTTCCTTTGTAATCTTATGTATTTTATAAATTCAAAAACATTATTTTATTGGCTTCATTTGGCTTGGTCCATCGGCTTCCCCAGATTGCCCGAAGGGTCCTTGACGCAGCAGGTTGAGAACCCCTAATTTAAGCCCTGTTTTGACCTGATTTCCCACCCTGATCGTTCCTTATCTGTCAGCCTGACACCTCCCGTTTCCCACATCTCTGCTTTCCACTTCTAAATTGCCCTCTCGTCTCCTCTTTCCCGATACCATCTATGGGCCAAGGTTGAAGATGTTTTATGGGATGATTGGAGAAGAAGAGCATGTGTGGATATAAAGAACAGCGTCAGCTTCATAGGACTGGAAAGGGTCTTGAAGCCATTATCTCTATCTCACTGCTTCACTAAAGGGCACCAGACTTCTGAGAGGTGATTGGCAATCCGGGTTTTAAAAAACTGGGTCCCTAAGAATAGAATTACTGGGAAGACTAGTTAGCACTGAAGGAGTAGACCAGAGAGAAAGAAGTAGAGGATGGATGGGGTGGAGGAGGGGGCATCGTAGCTGATGAGCAGGACCTATAAGGCATTAAGTGTTCGTGTCTTGTGTCTCTTCTTTTCAGCGTTAGGATCTCCCGGCCTCCAAACCCTAAGCCCTTGCCTCTCATCCGGGTGGTGGAAACCTGAGCTGCAAATGAATATTGCTGCTTACGACCCTTATTGGCCTAAAGAGAAAACCCACCTACCCTGTCGCATCACAGACTTTTACTTCTTGACTGGTCCTTGGCTCCCCCCTGCCCCGGGCCTCATGTTTGTATGCCTAATTCTCGAGCTCCTTTCTTCTGTCTGCCCAGCATACAGAGGAGGGGGAGGGCCTTCCTCTGGAGACCTGGAGCCCTTTGAAGGAAGCTACCGACAGAAGCCCCTCTTTGCTGAGGCCAGGGCAAGGGTGGAGCCAGTGCTGACACCCATAATACCATGATTGTTGCTGATCTTCATTAAAGAGGAGATTTTTCCTCTGAAAGTGGGTGTTGAGCTGCCCTGGCAAGGGTTACCCAGCAGGACCGGGATGGGGTGCCCTGACTCAACGTCTGCCCTGACACATGGAGAAACAAATATCCGCTTGGCCTGGCTGTCATCCTGAGGGACAGAACCTCTTTCTTCCAGTGTTGCTCGGCTCCTAGCAACGGTCCCCCACAAACACTTAGTCCTCTTCCCAAGATGGCAGGATGCCTACCCAGCTTGGGGGCTGCCTGGCTTCAGTGAGGATGAATCTCACCTTTGGTTAAGTCCATTTTCCTGGGGAGGAGGGTGAGACAAAAACCCCCATTCAAAGAATGGATTTGTAGCAGGAAGGGGTCCCTAGGGACACTGACAGCCATGCCTTAGTCCTTGCTGCTTTTGTCTTCTCCCACAATTCCCAGAAACCCTTGGAGTGTTCTTGTTTGTTTTTCTTTCTTTTTTTTTTTCCCCATTTAAACTTAGCCCAAGAAACACCGCAGTCTTCCTGGTCCCAGTGCCTGGAGGAAGGCTTTTCCACCAGATTGCATCAGTCCCAGAGAAGTAGCCATGCCTCCCCCAATATTTATTTTGCTAAGTTATTGGTGTCTTTGGTTATGTCTTGTGGTTGTTTTAATACCAAAGTTTTGGAACCTACCTATAGAGTTGCTTGAAACTGGGAAAAGCTTTTTGTGTGTCTTTCATCTTTCTCCTATCCCTGTGTCTTCCTCTCCCCTTTCCCCATGCCTAATTTGTGGACCAGGTAGGGAATTGTATGTGTGTTTATGTATTCAGGCTACAGGTGGGGGGGGGAAGTGGATGGGAAAGGAAATGTATATTGATTGTACAGAAAATTCATGAATAGGACCCTTTGGGAAAGGACTTGGTTCTTCCTTGAATCTCCCCCTCCCTGTCCTTTTGGGTATACTGCCTCTGAATGATCACATCTCCTCTTGGTCCCTGACTTGTACCCTCAGGTGATGGAGATAAAATGTCAGAGGACTAGCATAGTCCTGTAGAAAAATATTAACAAAAAGCAAAGCTCTTATTAAGTTACTTAGCTCTTCCTGGCTCAAAAGTAGAAGGCTTAAGTTTATCTGTGTCTGTGTAGAGGAAGCCTGGGTACTAGGCCTAGTCCTGCCCAGAACTTGCTCTGCCACTGCGGGCAAGTCCTTCCATGCTCCAGTTAACTCATCTGTGAAGTGAAGGGCCTGAACTAACCTATTTCCAAAGTCCCTCCTAACTCTAAAAGGTGTTTCTGGCCTATATTCTTTATATGGTGAATCGAATAAATTATATTGATGCGCCTCTCAGATTCTGGTCTGGTTTTTGTCTATTGCTTGAAAAAACAAGGGGCAGCTAGGTGCAGTGGATAGAGCACCAGCCCTGAAGTCAGGAGGACCTGAGTTCAAATCCAGCCTCAAACCAAACACTTGACACTTACTACTAGCCGTGTGATCCTGGGCAAGTCACTTAACCCCAATTGCCTAAAAATTTAAAAATTTAAAAAAAAAGAAAAAACAAAAACACCTCCTCCTCTAGCCTCCTGAAGGAGGCCCTTTCTTTCACATCTGGAGAATCCTCATGGGGACAGATCTTCCTCTTTTGTATGATTTGCATCCCCTCAACCCCAAAGGCTTTGTGGTTTCTTTGATTAAGTGCTTTCAGAGTGTAGGGGCTGTGGAAGGGGAGCTCAGCTTAAGCTGTCTGTGCTCTCATTTAGAAAGGATAGGAGAGTTTGGGGCTGGCTCCTAATTCTGGCTTTGGGCCTTGCCTGGTGTGGAGGCCTTGGCTGAACCCCTGAATGTCTCCTGGCTTGGGAAAAGGAACTGGTAGGGGATGGAGGTGCTGTGATTACAGATATAGCCACCAACTAGCACCGCAGGGTACATGAGTAACTAACTGCCAAGTCCTTTGCAGAAATGAAAAGCTCTAGAAATGCTGACTTCAGCTGTTTCAGAGTGTTTGAGGCTATCTCTGAGCATCACTCAATTAGCACCAACTCTTTCTTTCTGGCAGGGTATGCAGATGGCTGCAGGGCTGAATGGGGACATGGCTGAATTTACACTAATCCTCTCTGGACCAGAGAAACCTGAAACCCCACCCCCACCCTTGTCCCTCTCCTGCCACCCAGTTCAGAGGAGCCTGAGCTCCCATTGTTTTTCTTCCCCTCTCTCATTTTTTCAATAGATTCACACCCAGGGGTGCAGAAGGCATCAGGAACCTCTTTCCTCCTCCTCGAGCTAACCCACCTTTCTTTGCCTGGGCTGGGTATCTCTTGTCTTTGTTTTCAGAATTATTAACAGGGCACCAAGCAGGGTGGACTGACTAAGGTGCCAGGAAGACTTCCCATTAGAAGGAGAAGAAAGGTGTGGGGATAAGAATATCCTTCTATAAAAAGGAAAGGCTTCTTTTTGAAACCCAATCTTTTGATTTGACTGAGATTTATTAAGGACCTATTATGTTCTTAACAAAAATGAAAGTTCATGCCCTCAAGGGGCATACTTTTCCTGGGGATAGGGTAAGGGAATGTGTGTTCAGATAAGCAAAGCAAATATGAGGGTTTAGAAGACTCCATTAGAACTCGTGTCAAGAAAAGCCTCATACTGGAGTTAACAACTGAGTTGAGCCTGGAAGGAAACTGGATTCTAAGAGGGAGGAGGAAGGGAGTACATTCCAGGCACAAGGGGCAGGAGGTAGAATGTCTTGTGCCAATGGAAGAGCAACTAGATCAGTTTGACTAAAACACAGAATGCATAAATGGAAGTATGTACGGCAAATCTCTTATGTAAGGTGACCTGTTGCCAAACTGCAAAGGGATTTCTGGAAAGAATCATTGAAAAGAGAGGCATGATAAGTAACAAAATGGACCATTTCAGAGAAACCTGGGAAGACCTATATGAACTGATGCAAAGTGAAGTGTGCAGAACCAAGAGAACAATTTATACAGGAGCATTACCAAGAAAAAAAAAACTTTGAAAGCCTTAAGAACTCTGACCAATGCAATGACGAAAAAAAAAAATTCCCAAAGGACTGAAAATGAAGAAAGCTACCTGTTTCCTGTCAGAGGGGACAGATTTAAGATGCAGACTAACATATTTTTGAATGTGGTCAATGTGGGAATTGCTTTGCTTGATGAAACATTATTGTTAGGAAAGTTTACTTTTTTTTTCAGTTTGGGGGGATACAAATTTTTTAAAATTCAGAATGAGACATTTTTGGAAATGGCCATTATGCCGATTTGTTTTGCTTGACTGCATATTTGTTATAAGGGTTTTTTTTTTCCTTCAAGCGGGGTCTGGAAGGAGAGAAAATAAATGCTTGTTAATTTATAAAAGAAAGGAAGAGGTCCACCTGATATAAATAGCTCTCTTGGTCTTCCAGATAAGAGTGGTTGATTAATAATTGGGCGTGTTGTAGCTCAATCAACAAGTATTTATTAACCTGCTATGTACTAGGCATTGTGCTAAGCATTAAGGAGACAAAAGAGTTTATAGTCTATAGGGATAGACAACATATGTATATATATAAAAGAATATACAAGATATGAATGGAATAAATACAATGTATTTTATGTGTGTGTGTGTGTGCATGTATGTTCAGTCATTTTAGTTGTGTTTGACTCTGTGATCCCATTTGGGATTTTCTTGGCAAAGATACTGGGGTGGTTTGCCATTTCCTTCTCCAGCTCATTTTCCAGATTAGGAAACTGAGGCAAACAGTGAAGTGGCCCAGGGTCACCTAGCTAGTAAGTGTTAGAGGCTAGATTTGAACTCAGGGAGATGAGCCTTCCTGACTCCAGGTCTGACATTCTATTCACTATGCCACCTACCTGCCTTACACACACACACACACACACACACACACACACACACACACACACACGGGTATGCACAGATGACCCTGAGCAAATCTCTTAACCCTCTTTGCCCAAGTTTCTATATCTGTCAAATGAGCTGGAGCACAAAATGGCAACCACTCCAGTATCTTTGCCAAGAAAACCCAAAAATGGGGTCACGAAGAATCAGACACAACTGAAACAATCAAACAACATTATTATATATAGTAATAAATACATAATACATACACTGTGCATGTGTGTATATATTATATATCTGCATATGTCTGTATGTGTGTATACAGAGGGAGAGAGAGAGAGAGGGTACAAAGCCTGATGCAGAAATGAAAAGATGGAATTTGTGCTTTATCTAGGAGTTGAACTGGACAGTCCCTGGGTTCCCTTTCAGCTGAGTCTTAAGGCTCTGTGTTTCTCCATGTAGGTGTGGTGCCCTTTCTGTGTAAAGTGGAAAATTTGACATAGGGAAGGGGCACCAGGGTTGGTAGGGAGAGAAAGGCATCTGAGTCTTGGAAACTTTTCAGCTTGAGAGGTGGAAGGAGGGAGGAAAGGAAGTGAGATCGACAGAGCCCAGTGTTCTTCAGGCTGGGCACGGTGAGGTAAGCTGTTCTTGGACTGAATGCGCTATTTATTTCCTGTGTTTTGTCATTTTTGAGCCAGCTCTTCTGCTGCTTTCACATCTTGTGGAGAGAGGATCAAGCCCTATTCCCCGGAGCCTTTGCTGGATCAGCCTGTTTCCTTAAGCTGGGTGTCAGAGCTGCCCAGACATGCATTCCTCATTAGCAGCCTCCTGTGAGCATGGAGCAGTTCAGCCCCAACGTGGGAAAAGAAACTGGGGAGACCTCTTTCCAGGGGTGTTCTACTAAATGTTTAACAACCAACCCTGGGGGCAGGGAGGAATGTACCTTGACACGTTTTAAAATTTTAATCTGCATTATTAACATCTTTTCCATCAATTTCTGTAAGCCTAGACATTCAACAAAACAATAGATCAAGCCCTAATTTCTATCCGTTTGCCAATTTCTGAAATGTAAATGTTCACACTGAAAATTTATTTAATAATGGTATTGCTAGGTCAAACCTGGCCCAAGCACACCTTTCCTTTTTCCTTTGATTATTTGTTCATTTTCTTCATCCTCCACCATGACTAAGTCAGATATGAAAAGGGTTAACAGAGACATGGACACCTCAAAAAACAACAACAAGAAGGACATTAAAAAATAATTAACTTTCTAACAAAAGAATTGACTGGCTTTCTTTCAGTCCTACTTAATTGGACCTTTTTAGCTAAACTACTGGAAGACTCAACCTAAGAGAAAACCCTGTCATCCCAAGAATTAAACGGCTTAACGTTGACCCTGGAAAGGATTCTGGAAACAAGAGTAGACAAGGAGAATACCTTCTGGGTTGGAATTAGCAGCTCTATCTTTTTAATCAGCTAAACAATATGTTGCTGTTTATTTTCTTTTTTTTTATTTCTTGCTCTTCCTTCCTTCCTTCCTTTTCTCTAGTAATTCCCAGGGTTCCCTCAGTCCTCAGAACTAAGTATTTCTAAATATGGGACTGAGCTTGGTAAAACTGACCCAATAACAGATGTTTGACTTGGGCTCTTAGCCTCTTGTTTTGTGTTCAGATAGAAGAGTTTGGCATTCACAAATAAAAGTGGTTTCCTCCCTTCCCTGACTCAGTTCCAATCACCATGGCGTCTCTACTCAATTTCTAGAATGACCCAGTTTGACACCCCCAAATTGCCCCACCTACCTTTCTCCAAGGTCTCTATGAATAATTTTATACCAGCACAGAAGACAGGAAAGTGTTTTCTTTAGAAAAAAGCCTGGAAGAGTGTTGGCTCAGCATGCTCCCCAAACAATAACTCATTTGTACAGCCTTTGAGTTTTACAAAGTAATTTCCTTACAACACCTCTGGGAGGCCCATCTTCAATGACACCTTCCTTGCATCTTCCTAAACGTATGTGGTGGACTATCCTTTATGTCGGGGGCTCTTAATTTGGAGTCCATAAACTTAAATTTTTTAAAAATTTGATAACTGTATTTTGATATAATTGATGTCCTTTGTAATACTGTGTATTTTATTCTATGCCTTTCAAAGAATTCTGAAACAGGGTCCATAGACTTTGCCAAATGGGGTCCATGACTCAAAAAAGGGCCTTCTCTAGGGCCTTTTTAAAACCCAGAATCCTCTGGTTCTTGGATTCTGAGGGCAAAGAGGATAATTAGCTCTTTGCAGCTGGGTGGCAAAGTGGCTAGAGTGCTGGGCCTGGAGTCAGGAAAACTCGAGTTCAAATCCAGACTCAGACAATTGCTGGCTGTGTACCCTTGGGCAAGTCACTTAACCCCTTTGCCTTAATTGCCTCTACTGTTAAAAAAAAAAAAAAAAGGATAATTATAAGCACCTTCCTTCCGGGGTTGTTGTAAGGATCAAAGGGGATAATAATT